CATCTGAAAATGTTCCATGCTGGAGAATCAGATTATAGTTTCTTTCTTTTTTTTTTTTTTTTTGAGAGCGAACTGGATAAAATGTTTCATGTTTCCATTAGAACCATGTCTTTACATCTTTTTTTAGGAACTCACATTGTGGACATCTTAGATAGACAACTTTCTAAGTCCAGTGTTTGATTTAAGAGATATTTGTATCCCATGGACACTTGATTTCAAAAGTAGTAGTGGTATTAGGAATTTCTAAACTGACATTGTTGTGCTGCCTTTACCATTTAAAGTTTCCTTTTAATCAAATGCATGTATGCAGAGTAGCAAACATGGGAATTTATAGCTGATTTGTTATTTCAGAAAGCATTAAAAGCAAGTAAAGCATTTAGGCTTAAAACAAGGAACGTAAAATTCACCAAACCACTCCCCATGGTCATGGAAAAAAGGACAGATTATGTTACAGGACATTTCAGTCAAGATACCTTGCCTACCAATGGTAAGACAGTATATTGTCTACACAGGGCACAACATGACTTGAAACAAACTACTCAAGAATTCCTCCGTTCCTCTTTGGGAGGCAGCCAAAAATAAATCTGTGTCATAAATTTATTGCACCGTTATGAAAAACTGGGAATAGAGTGGGCTAGGTCCAAACCCACAGTTTCAGCACGCACTTCCAATCCCCACAAGGCAAAAATTTATTTCACATGACTTGTGTGCAAGGGTTAAGGAAACAGCATAAGCTTCTGATAGTATGCCTGTAAACAGAAGGGAATGACCACAGAATCCCAAAGCACTCTTTAGTTTCCAGTGAAAAGGAAGTAATCAAAATCACTGTCACTTACTCTCTGTTGGCAGCACAGGGGGAAGCGTGGTCTTAGGCTTCTTGGTCTTCTTCTCAGTAGGCTTTGAGGTCTTTGTGGATGAGGCATCTGCAATTGAAACAAATAATAAAATACAAATCCTATTTAAAAATCAATAATGAAAAAGCTGCCTGCTGACATCAGTTTGTTTTGGATCTTTCTGCAAAGTTAGAGGAAATTGCTGTCCTTTTGGTTTTTAAGAAAGATTTTCTGCACAGACTTGCTGGAGAATGTCACATTCTAAAAGGAAGAGGGAGCAGAGAGGGAGAAACCCTCTATGAAAGCAGCTGCACTAAGAACCTGAGAAAGCAACTAGACAAGAGGCACCATCTAAGCTCATAGGTCTATTTTAACTTAACTACTTAAGTACAATGTGCACAAAGCTGCTTTAGGCATTGCATGGAAGAGGGAAACAAAGGCATATTTGAAGCATCTTTTCATCCAAAAGAATCTCTTGCCATGTCATTCTTCTGTTCCATTGTCTATGTGATTTATACAGATGAGCACATTTTGAAAAGTAGCATTTCCTCTGTACGTTTAAATCTTTCCAAGAAGATATTATTACACACTGGTTCATTCCTAAAGAAAAATGACAAAAGGGACACAACAGGACCCAAGTTTGATGGATTTCATTATTCTCAAGATTGCACAGTTCATATCCAGCAACTGCTCAGCATTGCAGGCTCCACCGAGAGCTCAGAGTGAATACAAGTTCTCTTTCATGTGTAGCCCATATGACACAGACGTATGTAACTAGAAGGTGCTACCTTTTTTCAGCAAGGTTATCCCAGGTCGAGCATGTCATATAATGCAAATCCTAACAAGCTCCATGTGTTAGATTGTTTCATCCTGACATTTCTCTTTGGAAGAAAAATCCCAAATCTGGATTACGATCTGAGCAATTGCTGTATCAATTTATATCTTTCAAATATTCAGCTTTCAGAGGATTTGTGCATGAGATAGCTGTTTGAAATTTAGTTACCAGAGAAAAGGTAACATGTTACGGAACTACCTATTTCAGTCATCTACTTGTAGGTGCCAGAGCATGAAAGTCGGTCTCTCTAAGTTTCCTAAAAAGTTAACAGGGGAAGACAAATCTCCCAGAAAACAATTCAGAGCAAAAGGCTGTGCTAGATCTGAGTTCAGACACGCAGATTCTAAAGATTTGTCCCTGAGCTAATTTGACAACTGAAGTAAAATACTCCTCCAATTTCATTTGAGTCCATGGGGCCAAAAGGAATATAATGATATTTATGGTTACTTGTTGAGTCTAAAAATCAGCATCTGGGATGCTGACAGCAGACTGAGTAGAAGGCAGCAATTTTAATTGTTGTTTTAGATCACAATTCTAGTTTAAAAATAACAGTCATCCTCTCTGCCAGTCACAGACATGGGATATCAAATGGCGTCTCTCCTAAATAGCTGGAGTTTGCTGTAGTGCCTTAAAAACCTCTTAGCCATACAAAGCAGCATGCCAGTAGCGAATGGAAAAGACAGATGAGGCAGCCAGTATCAAGGTAAGGAATGTGGTCATTCTGGTGTCCAATATTATGTGAGCAGACAGCTCCTAACACCATGGATGCCACTACCAGGGTGAGCCAGACAGCTGATGTAATGCCATTCATGTCATCATGCAATGAATATGCCATGAGCTGACAGCCTCCCATAATCAAGACTTTGCAAGCCAAAGTGTACCTCCAGCCTCCTAGAACATGCATTGCCCAGCAGGAAACTGGAAGTGGGAAATATGCTAAAGGAGGCTTCAGGAAGAAAAGCAACTACCTGAAGGAGATCAGAAGACAAAGTCAAAGGAAAAAACACATAGGTGACTGAGACATTTAAAAGATGCAAGGGCAGCTCTGGAGAACTACTGTGTGGTAAGCACTTGATGATCTGATCCTTTAACCCTCTGCATCTGTGGTTGTTAAGGTGTTACAGGGTACTAGATTTTGCTTAAACCCTCTTCTTGATAGTCGTCTTTGAACTTCAGTGCTTGGTAAAATGTATTACTTCCAATCACAGAAATACAAACAATAGTTTATCAAACATCTAAGCCAGACTACACTGTGACCATAGTATCATGGAAGGTGCCATTACATGAACCAATATAAATAATTGTAATTATATGTATAATTAATTCCTTTTCCAGCTACATGAAGACTGACCCTTACTGATGAAGTTACAGGATCATGTTCTTACCTTGTGTCATGCTACATTAGGTAAACAAATAGTAGTTTTCTTTTCTAGACCTTCTGCCCCAAATACCACATCTGCAACACATTTGTGAAGGTTTAGTGCCCAAGATCTATGTCATCAGGCCTGTTGTTTAGTTTTGTGTTCTTTTTAGTTACAATGGAAAGTATCAGAGTATGCAAGGATGAGCTCACCAGAAGGTGAGCTGATAAGAAGCACATTTGGTTACTTAAAGTCCATGACAGTTTTAAAAGTCTGTGCTCTCAACCTCAAGACAAAATATGTGCCCAAAGCCAAGACTACTGGGCAAGAGTACAGTGTCATCAGCATGACTGAGGCCGAAAACGGGTACCTCAGTCTGAAAATTGTCCATGTTCTAAGACTATGGCATACAAGGGTGGTTGAGCTGCTAATTGGTTTATTTTTTACTCACTTCCATTAGAAAAAAAACAAATGACCAAATGTCATTGAATGCAAAGGATTGAAAAGTTCTAGACTGAGAAATGTGCCATACATAGTCCTGAAGCAGACCAGTACCCAAGCTCACACACCAAATTCTTACATGCTCTTAAAGAATGCATACATCTCAGAAGCAAATCTTCATGGGTTCAACTTAACGGCTCTAAAATCCTTGTAGAATACAGTGGGCAGCAGGAGAACATAGATTATTCCACAAAGCAGCCAGAGCCCTTGGCTCTGTACTGTCTCTGAGGCTCATGCTCCTTTATGCTAAACATTGAATTACGTATTGACCAAAAAGTGTAGGAGGGAAGCAGGCAGAGTTCTTTTTTGTGTATGTGGTTCATAAAGGCCAGTATTGGGAAATAAAGGGGGGAAGGAGTAAGTTCTAAGGAAGGGTTTTCCCATACCCAGCAATGTACTTACCTTCTACCAGCACTTTGCAAGCACATTCAGCTTTTCCTGCTGCATTCTCAGCTATGCATTTATATTCGCCCCCATCTTCAGGCATGGCCTTCTCAATGGTAAGTGAACACAGCGTCCCTAATACAAAGGAAGGAGAGATCAAATGGATGTTATGTTGGAGTTCACAAAAATCTTAGTGCTATTAAGGAACACAATGCATCAAATGATCCAATCCTTTACTACAGGTGATCTTCACTGCTAGAAAAAAGATGTTTTGTCCTTAAAAATTTAACATCGGAATTGGAACCTTATTAATGTTGAATAAAATAAAAACGGTGATAGATAAATTGAGTCTTATTGCTGTTCCCTAGGATACTCAAAGCTGTGCCTGCAACCCTAAAGTGGTTAAGGGATGAGGGCAGAGAAGACCCAGAGCAGAATCTCTGCTGCTGTTCTTTGTCTTACAGCAGAGATAAGAAGTCCTCACTCTGATGATCTTTTTCCAAAAATGCTAGTAGTGTAGGACTGTAAATAAGAGGGCTTCTGTCAAGTGACCATCTGCAATATTTTGATTCAGCCTTATCTCTAGCACTCCCATGAGCATCCACATGTGAAAGTAGAACTTCAGCTTAGTGCCCAAGTTTAAAAATGACACTGAGAGCCATTTTCTTCTTGCTTTAATTACTCAGAGAACAAGCATCTGATATTGTAAAACATCTGTTAGAAAGTCCAATATATGAGTGGCAATCAAATTTGTCACTGCAACAAATCCATTTCTTTTCAAGCAAAAAAGCAAAATTTTACTTCATTGGGTTTGAAGAAACAGGATGCGACATAAGCTCTGTAGTTTCCAAGGGAAGCTTGGTATGACCCAAGGGAAATACATTTCCTCTTAAAAAACAAAACTCTGTGAACCAAAACAGAAGCTTTTCCCAGTAGTTGGGGGATGAGGAAGGAGAACTGTGGTTTACCTAATCCCTTACATTCACTTGCATTGCTTAGAACAACGAAGTACTTTGCTCCGTGGGGAGAATCCCAATTAAAACACTCCAGACTTTCCCCTTCCAAATACCCCTTGTTAAGTGAGGGTGAGATGTGGACTGACTTTCTCCTTCCTCACTGGAAAGCCTGGCCTGTCCCCCAAGCACAGCCTGAGACATCGTGCACTTCCACCCATTGCTGTTAGCTTGTCCAGAATGCCTCCACCCTCCACTTATTTCAGCTGCAGTAATACCTTCCCCCCCTCCTCCATTTACCTTTCTCACAGTCTCTACTAATTGATGGCAAGATTGGATAGATGATCTTTTTTAGACATTTCCCCTGTGTCCTGAGAGATAAGGAAATTTCCCAGCATCTCTTGCCACCTTTCTCTCTATGTTAACTGGAGGCAGCCTTCTGCCTTCCAGAGTGCCTGATCCCAGGCTCCCCATCAAATATATCCCTTGTGATGTGGGCAATGGCACAGACACAGGTGACACTGGTCCTTGAAAGGTACTTAAAAAGAACACCCCTCTATCAGAAGAACTTTGAGAGTTTACTGGCTCTCCTTGGAGACTAGACCTCAGTTATAACATGACAATTATGCTTTTGGCATTCAGATTTTCCCTCATTGTAAAACTGGATGTTATTATTCAAGCCAAATCATATAAAAAACTTTGAAATGGTTCCCCACAAATTTGGTTTGCCCAGACACACACAAGGGTTAGAAGAAAATAAATTTTTCCCACCTCCTCATCCTGCACAAAATCAAGAAGCTCTAAATAATGACAATTTTCTCCCTGAGAAACAATGTGAAAACTATCTCAGAAGAGAACTGACCCCTCACTCACATGTGTTGTGCTCAGCCAACCACAGGGTGAAAAGAAAAGCCACGTGCCTTCCCTGAGGCAACTCATCTCCATGGGTCAGGCTGAGCCAAAAATGTCAGAAGCCGCAGTTCCATTCCAAATGGAGGAGGGACACTAGACAAGTATTCTTGTAGGCGTCTAGCAAATATAAGTTCACGTGTCTCTGCTGTTTAAAGAGACAACTTGGAGAGCAAGCCAAAGATAACTTCCAGTCTAAGAATTTGTATAAGTCTATATAACATGATTAGAAAAGATCACACATCAGAACCTAAAAATGCTATTGCAAAAGAACATAAACTATGGAACAGAGGCACATACATATGAAGGAGATCTGTGGCCACCTTACTGCAGGGAAGGAGTCTGGCTGGTAAGGATAACTGGATCATTAAGGGACTGGAACAAAGCAGCATTTACTTTAGTTTTTGCTGGAGTTTTCTACCTATGCAAAAGCCCTTCCTCACCTGCATACTAATCGTCAGCTCACTGAAGACTAATGTGACATAGGGTCATTCCTCATAAACTGTTGCAGTGTTGTCCATACAGCATACTACAGCCATATAAGTTAACACCTTATGAGAAACACTTCCTTATGCAGCATATACAAACAGAAACATCCCACCCTAACAATAAGTCATTCCCCACACTAATACTAAAATCTAGAAGCAAATCCTAGGGTTTTCTCATGACAATCCCTGACTTGCCATGTGCACTCAGTGCTCTGTTAGTTTTGCTTTTAGAATCTAGCCCTGGCCAGGCTGCATCTGATCAAAGCTGCATTTGGCTAATTCCACTGGAAGCAGAGTCCTCATGAAATAATGTCAGTTTTACTCATTCCAAAAGAATATTTATATGTGTTGAATTTTAATTAAGTTATTTTGTGAGGAGGAGGAGAAGGAAATCTGTTTTTTCAAGGGCTGCATCCTTTTTCTCCTGAATTCCACCCCTCCTGCAGCAATAACGTGTATCCTATTTCCCTCCGCTTCTCCATACTCCCCAGCAACTACACTGGAACAGCACATACAAGGTACAGGGGTATTGCTGGGCTTCTTGCTACCACCAGATGGAATGCTGGTATTCTGCCCTCAGTGGAGGAGTGAAGGGGAAATGAGATAATTTGGGTTGTTCTCCTTTATTTAGCCACTAGCTTTCCTGAAACTGCGGATTGCTAGGACTTAGTGTGAAATAGCCAGTGGTTCAAAAACGTATTAGCCAGGCTGGGTCAGGAATGTAAGGGGAGCCTGAGAGAGCACATGGCTGTAGAAACCTAATTTTCTTAGAAAACCAGGGAAAAAAAAACCCCAAACAAATGGCAAAACTTGATGAGATTTCATAAGGACAGGAAACTCCCCAATAGGTCTATGTTCTGTGATCTAGAGCTACAGTCAATTCCCGGGGCTAGAAGGCCAAATGTCTTTCAACGAAGTATTTGGTATTTCCTCTGCAAAAATCCTTCATGACCTGAAACAAGCTTATTTTCTCATAGCTGCAAGAAAGCCCAGACTGGTTACTCCAGTTGGGTATTCTGAATCCTGGCACTTCACAAATCCCAGTCAACTAAAAGAATTTGCTATCAATTTTGTCCCCCCATCCATCTCCTTTTCTTTTTTTAGGAACCAGCCCACGGACAGTCTTTAAAACACTGTCACAAGGGGCAGGATTGGAGTAAACATGAATACTGGGATCTTCCACTTAGACATCAGAACTGGTGCAGCTCTAGAAAAGAACTTAACAGCCACAGAAGCTGACAGTTCACTGGAGGCTCTAGTTTAGATACACAAAGCCTTTCCCTTGCATTTTGAGCTATTAAAGGATTTTCTGACTTACTCAAAAATAGCGCAAGCCAGTTTAAAATACCTCTAGGCTTCTGCATTCTTTCCATGAAACTCCACAGAAAGTCAACTTCAGATATAAAACAAATACACAAACCAACAAAAACCAGCTCCTGAGTCTAATTCCCCACACTGGCATCTAGCTGGCCAACCTCCTGACTCCTATCTGTGATGCAGACTGAAGTTTATGTCTTTCTCATTTGTATCCCATGGGATAAAAAAGTACTATGGAGTATTTAGGCAATATTAATAAATACTAGGTCATGAGAAATTGTGCCTAGGAGTCATAACAAATTTGTTAAAGAGCTCATTGGCGCACTGGTGTTATTTTTCTATAAATCACAAATTGTCTGGGAAAGTGCAAATATATGCTAGTGTCACAGTCATGTTTAAAAATGGCAAGTGGGTTGACCTGGAAAATATTGACTACAGTTACAATGACAACAGGCAAAGTAATGAAAAAACACATGAGTTTCAGAGAAGAAAAAAGGTCAAATTTAATTATTGCTAATTGACAGAGTTTTAAGGAAAACAATGTAAGAAACTTACTTTCATTATTCATGAGATTACACATTTAACTGGCAAATGTATCTGTGTAAAGGTAGTTTTCTTAGTCTTTACTGGAATATTTGTGTTATCTCACATTATTCTGTTTGCTACTAATGTTACATTACTGTATTAATGACATTCATGTTAGGAAGAGTTAGAGCTGCCAAAATAAAGACCTCATGAAGAAGGTGACAATAGGAAATCATCACTTGGTATGTTTCCAGTGGATTTCCTCTGTGATCAGACTAGGTCCAAAGTTATTAAATATTTTAATCTGTGATGTAGAAGTATTCATAAATTAATGCTGATAAACTTAAAGATGATAGAAAGAATGTTGGAAAGGGAAAAGACAGAAAGAGAGAGAAAACAGGGCAGTCCTCATAAACAATCTCATTTACTTGTTAAGCTGAATCCTATTCCCTCAAAGAAAACGGGCTTAAGACAGTGAAATGACAAGCATCCACTGACAGCAAGGGATGCTCTATTTTCAGAAGGTTTAAATGTTTAATACAGAAGTAACAAACATGAGCTCCATGGTGTTGTGAGGTAGAAAGAGGACCAATGACCTCCAGTAAGCACAGCAATAGGAAGGTGACCTCCATCTCACTGATGCTGATACTGATGCATGGTTCTGCTGCCTGTTTTCTAAATACAATAATAAACCAACAAACGGCAACTGAAGAGGGGGTATTAAAAAGAAAAACAAAACAAAACAACCCCAAGCCTCCAAGGGCAGGATAAAGTGCAGTATGGAGAGAAAGTTAGTAAGAGCTTGACTTGTCAGGTTTCGAAAAATGAGAGAGAGAGAGGTATCTTGATTACAGATTCAAAACCATTCCATCAAGTACAAACAGGCTCTTCAGCTTAGCAGAGAAAGGAAACAAGTGTATGGAAGAAGAAACCAGATAAACTA